TCTTTTTATTGATGTTTCCTTCATTTTTTCTGTTAAAACTGTATGAAATCTGCCCTCCTTTAGATGAAACATTCTCATCACTCTCTCATAAGTTCTTTGCCATTTAAATCATATCTTTTACAAATATGGTAAGATTTTTTTCACCAACTTTGTCTTTGTCTTATGTTAAAATAGATTGCATATTTCCATAGATGGCACCATGGCATAGCTTTCCTGGAGTCTTTGTTCTAACACTTGAATAACATTTATTTGATAAATATTTGTACTGCATTTTGTCTTTGTATGTCAAAATTCATAGGACCCTATTCTGAGTTGCCGCAGAACTGTCATGTCTGCTTAGATTTTGTGGGGGTAGGGAAGGGAACAAAGGTGGCTTCAGGGCTGGTCCCTGTCATGAAGTAGAGAAACCCTCGGGCTTTTCTCTTTGGTACTGGCTACTTATAGCTTTAATGGGCAATTTAATTAGCTGTGGATTACCTGTGCAAAACGTTACTTTCTGTCTAATTCACAAAATCAATGATTTACAGAAAACAATAGTTAAGTCCCTTCCTTTCTTGAGGTAAAATCTATGCTCACAAACCAGTGTCAGAAATTGTGTCTGAAATTCAGAGAAATTTCAATATATTGAACAGAACAAAATTTTAGAAAGAGTAATTTTTTTAACTGATTGGGGAGACGTTAGATATTCAACTTCCTAAACTGCCTCTACCTCCAAGAAGAACCTTTTGTCTGAAGGCCTGTTTTGGTATCCAGAATCTCTCAATTTACACCTGAGAGCATAGCTTTTGAGAGGATCCTACTAAATTGAAATAAGCAGTACAGAAATAAATTTCATTTTTTCTTTTACTCAAAATACAAACACAAAAATTCCTCTATCACTTCATTTGTCAGACATATTTGTTGTTTTATAGGAAAAGCATATACAACCTCAAGAAACCCAATCACCAAAGGCAAGCCCAACCTTCATGTATATTCTGACATCTCCTTTAGATGGAAGGTGCTTCAATCAATAGTCTCTTTCCTGTGGGTTCCTGTGGATTGTTCTTAGGGCTTTTTCTCCTAAAATCCACCCCTCCGTTGTTCCATCTTTTTTTATTACTGCATTATTCTGTCTCAATCAGTGGAGAAGTTATTCAGAAGAATGAAAAAAATTCTTTCTTCCTAATTTTCTTTTCTAGTAATGTCTTCACTAATGTTTGAGTCCTGTCTCTCATGAGGGTTGAATTTTCAATTATATTGTTGTTTTTTAAATTGCTGCAGCTTTGGAATAAATCTTTTTTCAGGCTGTCAGGTCAGGTAGGCAGGACCAACATCCCAGTGTTTCCTTAAAAGTCCTTGCACTTCCTCCAGTCTATAAAACAAGACTGTCCAAGCCATCTGGAAGGAGTAGTAGAGACATTATTAGAAAGCCAAATAGCAAGATATGTTAAAATTGATTTTTTTCTTATCTTGTTTTAGGCAGCTAAGACCCAAGAGTAAAAATCTATCTTAATTATATATATATATATATATATATATATATATATATATATATATATATATATATATATATATCTTCAGAGGAGCAAAATTATGGGCTTTTAATTATCCTTTTTTGTAATATTTACTTCAATAGATCCATATACATAAGCTGGAACCATATTGTAATAAAGTATTCTGTGAGGTCACTATCCCTTATAAAAAGAAAATGAAAGGCCTCTTGAACATATATCTTCTTTATGTACTGCAGTAACCGAGGAAATATATTGACCATAAGTTAATATCATATGCTTATCTCAATAGAGATACAAGTGGTTCCTTGCTGACATGGCATGGAAGTTTAGCTAGGAGAAGCTCTGAGAAAGCTAGTCAGAGGGAGAAATTTTAGAAAAGTAGATCAATAAGAACATAAGAATGGTCATACTGCTTAGACCAATGGTTCATCTAGCCCAGTATTCTGCTTCCAGCAGTGGCCAGTGTCAGATGCTTCAGAGGGAATTAACATAACAGGGCAATTATCAACTGATCTATCCCCTGTCATCCAGTCCCAGCTTCTGGCACTTAGAGGTTTAGGGATAGAACATGGCTCTAAGCTTGCATTCATGGCCATCTTGTCTAAATAGCCATTGCTGGACCTATCCTCCATGAAGTTATCTTATTTTATTTTTAACCCAATTACAATTTTGGCCTTCACAACATCCCTTGGGAAGGCAACAAGTTCCATAGGTTGATGGTGTGTTGTTTGCAGAAGGACTTCCTTATGCTTGTTTTAACCCTGCTGCCTATTAATTTCCATGGGTAATGTCTGGTTCTGATATTATGCAAAGCGGTAAATAACATTTCTTTATTCACATGCTCCACACCATTTGTGATATTATAGACCTCTATCATATATCCCTCCTTAGTTGTCTCTTTCTAAGCTGAACAGTACCAGTCTTTTTAATCGTTCCTCATATGGAAGCTATTCTCTACCCTAGATAATTTTGTTGCCGTTCCCTGTACTTTTTCCAATTCTAATGTGTCTTTTTTGAGATGGAGTGATGCACTGCATGCAGTATTCAGGGTGTGGGTGAACCATAGATTTACATAGTGACATTATGACATTGTTGTTTCTTATTATTTATCCTTTTCTTAACGATTCCTAACATTATGTTAGGTTTTTTGACTGATGTGGCATATGTTGAGCAGATGTTTTCGGAGAACTACCCACAATGATGCAACATCTCTTTCTTGAGTGGTAAAGCTGACTTAGACCTTCTCATTTTGTATGTATAGTTGGGATTATGTTTTCCAATGTGCATTACTTTGCACTGATCAACGTTGAATTTCATTTGTCAAATTCTTGCTCAGTCACTCAATTTTGTGAGATCCCTTTGTAACTATTCACAGTCCACTTTGCCCTTAACTATCTTCAGTAATTTTGTATCATCAGCAAACTTGGCTTCCTCACTGTTTACTCCCTTTTCAGGATCATTTCTGAATATGTTGAACAATATTGATCCTTGGAGGACCCTGCTATTTACCTCTCCCCACTGCGAAAACTGACCATTTATTCTCACTTATCCTTTGTTTCCTGTCTTTTAACCAGTTACTGATCCATGAAAGGACCTTCCCGGTATCTCATAACTGCTTACTTTGCTTAAGAGCTTTTTTACATGGGTCCTTGTCAAAGGCTTTCTGAAAGTCCAAGTATACTATCTCAACTGGACCTCCTTGTCCACATGCTTGTTGACACCCTCAGAGAATTCTAATAGATTGGCGAGGCATGATTTCCCTTTAGAAAAGTCACAATGACTTTCCCCCAATATATCATGTTCATCTTTGTGTCTGATAATTCTGTTCTTGACTAGAGTTTCAGCCAGTTTGCCTGGTAATGGAGATAGGCTTTCTGGCCTGTAATTGCCAGGGTCACCTCTGGAGACTTTTGAAAAAATATTGAATGAATCAGTGAAAGTGACACATTCATAGCTAATATTTTTTTGTTGCCTTGTGTGTATGAACTACTATAGATAAAGTAAATTAGCTTACTTTGGTGAGTGTCTGTTTGCTATATATTACTTGCAGGATGAAAATAATACCCTCTACAATGCCAAATATAAAAAATAATAATCAAGTTAATAAATACTGCATTTTATAAAATGAGCCATTGAAGGAAAATCTAGAAATGTAATATGTTGCATCTAACTTTCTGCCTAAAACTGTTTTTTGTGTTATACACTAAATAGATAAAGAATCAGAATATCAGTTATGTTGTCTTAGTGATTGGGAACACAATAGTAAGAAATAATTACTCCAGTTTCTGCCAGTGTCACTTTTATTTATTGGAATCGGTAGTGTACAATTTATCTTTTCTTGACAGCATTAAAGGTATTCCTTAGCTGGCTATTAATTTAATTTGCTTTTGTTTCTTCCTCATATTTTTCATGTAGGATGAAAGAGCACGGTACAGTAGCTTGTTTAAAAAAATGTATTTTGATGCAGAAGGTTTTTCTAAACATTTTCAGATATGAAAACAATCAATCAGTTAACATTGAAAAAAAAGAATTCATTCATTAATGCAAATGGATATCTACATTTATAACATATGAACTCAGATACCGTTTAATAATAAGTATAATTAGAAAAAAAGGTGAGCTTACTCTGCCTTCAGTGTCAGTTGTTGACTTTCACTTGACTACTGGTTGCATAAAAGGTCCCAATTTTTAAAATATTGGCTGGCAGTATTGTATTGAAAATATATTAATGGATTTAACAGTTCACGGGTGTTCTGTATCATATAAGTTTAATATCTGCAGATGATATTTGCTTATTCTTCCATGGTTTTACTTTACTTTATTTTCTTTAAACTGATAATGAAATGTTTAATGGATTGATTTTTATAAGTCCTCCATAGATTTCAATGGAAATTGTGAGTGCACAGCGAATCTTAAAATCAGGTTATAAGTAAACAATGGGAAGAGGAAGGGACTTAACTGAAGTTTCCTGTTGTTGTGGATGTTATGAGTTAGATGGAAAGTTAGATAAATCCATTCTCTATTTTCCTTCCCTGGTGTATTGTTGCAGTTCCATCACCTCCAACGCCCATTGTACCATTTGTTTGCATCGAAGTGATAGGAAACTTTAAAATCTGGGACGGAGAATGTGTTTCCTGGAAAATATATATCTTATATATATATATATAAGCTTAAATATACTGCCAACAATTTTAGTTTGAAAGTTAGTAAGATAAGAGAGGAATGACTGTGTAGAGGGGGGAAGTTATCTTCTGTTTAACACACTATAGTGGGACACAAGAGATCTGGATTTCAAGCCCAGCTCCACCACAAACTTTGTGTGTGACCTAAGATACATCATTTAATCTCTCTGGATCTCAGTGTGTGACGCTGGAATAAAAAAAGTGGGAAATGGGAAGAGTTAAAATATCTGAACCACTGTGTTACTCAACAAGTACTATTTAGAAAAAAAATCCCTTTCTTTGATAGCAAGAAGTAATTTATTTTCTTTCTAATTGTCTTTATCAGATGTAGGTTCTGTGGAAGGACTTGCCTATCATAGAGCTTGGGATACTCTCTATTGGACCAGCTCTACTACATCATCTATCACAAGACATACAGTTGACCAGAAACGACAAGGGGCTTTCAACAGGGAGGCAGTAATAACAATGTCCGAAGATGATCATCCACATGTATTAGCTCTTGATGAATGCCAAAAGTATGTACCACATCTATATTACTGGTTTTTGAATGTTCAAAAGTGCTGAGCATCGAGCATCTCCCATTCGTGTAAGTGAAAACTGTGGTACTCAGCACTTTTGAAGATCAGGCAAATGCCTAAATATAGTTTCAGGAGCCAAATTTCATGCTTTTATTTTGAAAGCATTTCCAGAAATCCTAAAATGTCTCATTTAATCCAAATAATCTTTTAGATCATGCTCAAATATTTTTGTACTATGTGTCACCAAAAACCCTTCAAGCTGATGTTTGAAAAAATAAGAAAACCTGCCTGAAATAGTTACAGTAGAACAGAAAGGATAAGTATTCTCCATTGAGCTGTTCGCTTCTGTAATATACAGTTCAAATTTCTTAAGTAAAAGCTGGAAATACAAATATTTTACAGTCTTAAAATAAAACCTCAGTTTCTTGTCTTACTAGTGTATGTGTCCATGCAAATGACCTAGTCAAAGGGCAAATGGGTGCCTAAATTTAGACTTGTAAAGGTAGAATTTTAAAAAATTGCTGTGTCTTAGGAGGACATGCACCATTGAGAGTCAAGTCTCTCTCTCTCTTTAATTGAACTTCTTTTATGGCACATTAGAACCTAAATAGCCAAACATGTAATTTCAGTCAGTAATGTAGCATAGATTCTGAAGTAACTTTATGTAAATTGGGAGGTATGTTCTTTTTGTGAAATATGCATCATCCACTAAAGTCTGTGTAAGCAGACCCCATTTGCAGTATTTCTGCATCTACTCTCCATGTAGCATGTCTCTCACAGCCTCACTACAGGGTATAAGTAACCTGGGGAGGGCCTTGTATAGATGGATTTTCCCTGGTTTAGAAAAAAACAGGTGACAGAATTGAGGATAAAAACTCAAAAGATTTGTGGGAAGACAAAGTCCATGCTTGCATTTGAGTCAAGGATCTGCTATAATTTGAAAATTATTGACTGTCATACTTGTTATCCTTTGTTAGAAATAATTGATTCTCATAACTTGGAGAAAGGTGCACTACTTAAAATATTAGACCAAAAGAATGCCAGAGCACTCATTAAAACAGAATAAACTGCAATAATTGATTTTATTATAATTTAATTGGAAATACTATATAAACTATAACTATATTTGAAGGTACATGTTTTTCATATTCTTAACTTATAAGTGGAATTAACATAGGAAGTAAAATAAAGACAAGGTTAGCTTACAGCTTTTTATTATTATTTTGGTGTTAATACAGTTTAATGTTTTGGACTAACTGGAATGAGCAGCATCCAAGCATCATGAGAGCTACCCTTTCTGGGAAAAATGCACAGGTTATTATCAGTACTGATATCCTCACACCAAATGGACTTACCATTGATCACAGTGCAGAGAAACTCTACTTTTCAGATGGCAGCCTGGGAAAAATAGAGAGGTGTGAATATGATGGGTCACAGAGATATGTAAGTAAACAAACAAAAATATTGATATATGGAATATGTACTTTTTGGGTAGTTTCTCTAAAACAGCCAAAGTTTAGATTTACCAAATCAGGATCTTATGTATCTGCCTGTAGATTGATGAATCAGTAATTCTCCATTAGTTCTTATTCGTGAACAAAATGGCTAAATTGAATCATAGAAATATAGGACTGGAAGGGACCTCGATAAATCTAGTCCAGTCCCCTGTACTTTTAGGCAGGACTAAGTATCATCTAGACCATCTGTGACAGGTGTTTTTCTAATATGTTTTTAAAAACCTCCGATGACAGAGATTCCACAGTTCCCTAGATAATTTGTTCCCATGCTTAACTACCCTTCCAGTTCGGAAGATTTTCCTAACGTGTAACCTAAATCTCCTTTGCTGCAATTTAAGCCCATTACTTCTCATCATGTCCTCAGTGGTTAAGGAGAACAATTTATCACTCTCCTCTTTCTAACAACATTTTACATACTTGAAGACTGTTATCATGCCCCCACTTAGTCTTCTCTTCTCCAAACTAAACAAACCCAATTTTTCCAATCTTTCCTCATAGATCATGTTGTCTAGACATTTAGTCATTTTGATTGCTCTCCTCTAGACTCATCAGTGCTGAATAGAGAAGAAGAATTTTCTCATGTCTTGCTTACAACTCTCTGCTAATACATCCCAGAATGATGTCTGCTTTTTTTGCAACAGTATTACATTGTTGACTCATATTTAGTTTGTGATCCATTGTAGCCCCAGATCCTTTTCTGCAGTACTCCTTCCGAGGTAGTCCTTTCTCATTTTGTATTTGTGCTGTTGATTATTCCCTCCCTAACCCTAACCCTAATTCTAATCCTGTCCTCCAAAGTGCTTGAAACCCCTCCCAACTTGGTACCATCCACAGACTTTATAGGTGTACTCTCTGTGTCATTATCCAAATCATGTATGCATGGATTATTTTAAATTTAGGTTTTCATGTTTCAGATTCTATGTTTAAAAGGCATTATTTTTATATGTAAATACAATGAAACAAGCAAAATATGCCTCTGCTAAAGCACAATGCCTGATTTCCTAAAATACAGTGCTATATATCACTTCTCATTCTGATATGTCTATTATAAGTTACAGTTAGGTTATGTAGAAAGTTGACTGTAACTTGACTCATTTGGCTGCTGCATTAAGTTGTTTTGGGTTTTTTTAGAAATATTGAGGAAAAGTCCATTTAGCTGTTTTACATTTATTGGAGATTGAAAAAAAAAATCCCTTTTCATCTTTTATGGTATTTCTGACCCAGAGAGACTTCAGAAATGAGTGGGGTGGAGGTGGTGGTGGAGGTGGAGGGAGAGATAAAAGAAAGCATACCTCAAACTAACTGTCTGGAAATAGTCCTTACTGTGTAATAGACTGCAAGGTTTGCAGAAAATTTTAAATTAAAATATTATAAGTATTGAAATATCACATGGGTCTAGGTATCTGCTAATATTTTAACAGAGCCTGATGCTTGTTGTTACATCACAGTGCAAATGAGAAATGTAAATGTGTCATTAAAACACACAGCAGTCTTCCAAAAATGCAAATTATATTTCTATCTTTTTATGTTGCCTTCATGTGTTGCTTTTTCAGACATGCTGCCTCGTGAATCCAGTTTTGAAGACAAAAGCAGCAGCTAAACAATAACAATAAGAGTGGGAACTCTCTCCTCCCTGCCACCCACTCATTTGTTTCAATGAGCCATGTGCTCCAGTCCTAGTTTGGACCACTTGCAGACTAGCATAAATGGACAGCTGCATCTTTCCATTTCCTTAGAAAATAAGAAAAGATTTGAATGCAATCTCCCTGCAAAACAAACACCCTCTACCCCCCATAAAAATCCGCTTTTGTTATTGTAACATTTAACTTTACATATTTCAAAACTAAATGTTCATGGAAATGCAAAAGCTCTAAATTTCTCCTGGTAACATTAACTCAGCTACAATGCACACATATTTTTGTTTATTAATTAGACTATTTAGATATACAGTATATCTATCCTATACCAGAACTTGGCCCCCTTTCAGTTTTCCTTATGCTTCTCTGGAGGTGCAAAGTATCCAGAAAGTCTGCGGGTGGAGAGAGATGGAGAAGACTCACAGAACCTAGCATACTTGTGTCTGTGGCATCACTGTACCCAGTAATCCCTGGTTGTGGGTAGACATTGGATAACCAGCATTGAGCAGAGCATTGAGAGATGTACTCTACTTTACCTCAGGAACTTGCATTTCCCATCCCAAGTTGTGCTCAGCACAGCTAGGACACAGAGCAAGATTGGGGCTCCCATGTACATAATGTTACTGTGAAAACCTTATTTTTTGCATTTTCTAAAATCTTCTGTGTTTAAATATCTCACCCTAATGTTGTATTAATGTAGGGCTCAATTTTATTACTCTTTATTACTCTTTTCCTCCATGAGCACTGGCATTAGTTTCAGTGGAACTATTAGTTGAATCAGGAACAACTCAGCATGAATAAGAGTGGGTGACCTATCCATAGTTTATTTTTTTAGTTAGTTCTGTACCTTGTATATTATATACATTTTTTTTCTGGGATATTAAAGATGAGCCTAGCACCACCAGAAGTGCTTGAATTGGAAAGTAAGTGTTTGTGTACCCCTCAGAAGTTATGGTATGCTCCAGCTTTTTCCAGTTTACAGCTGGCAGAAGTAGTGAGGTGTAGAGGTTTGGTATAATCACCTCTACCCTCCTCCCCATTTCCAGCACTGCCCAACATTAATGTCATATGTTTCATATGACAGCATTTATTGTATAATTTTTAGCATTCATGAAAGTGCTACAGAACACTTTTTTTTATTTTACTGTTAAATCTCTATAGAAATACATTTTCTTTCTAAATGTTTAACTAGGGACAATCTGCAGTCTTAATTCAGTCAAAATTTCCTCTTTTGAATTTAATTTAAATTAAGGAAGTGTGACTAACTTTTGCTTGAAGTGAGAACAGCAAAGTAAACCTCAAACCACAAACAGGTCCACTTTCAGGTGGCTGAATCTGTTTGTTATTAGGCTGAATACCTGCTGGTTCAGGTTCCATTCTGATGTCTCTATGGATTGCCTGCTGAACTAGGCCACCATCTGTTTTAGCGTTCCCTTTATATGAACCACTCTGATGGAAGCTAAGTTTACATTTGCCCAGGAAATTATCTCCATCATCTGTGAATAGAGTACTGTGACTTGAGTTTCCCACCCCTGATTATTGAGATAAATTTCTCAGTGATGGAGACATTGGACTGGACTAATATGTGGTCACTTTTGATGTAACTTTGGACATTTTGAAGGCAGACTTGACTGTTTGAGCTATAGAAAGTTGGTGCTTTGTTTCTTTTCTTTTCTTGTTTTCCCTTTTTTTGTGGTTGCATGATATGATCCCACAATCTCCGATGCTGTTCTTTTCCCCAAGTGTGATCCCCATCCCTGAAGACTGGCATCCATCATGCACACCTTGGGATCTGGAGGATGAATATGCTCCTCAGACTCATTTGTTCTTTCAGCAACCTCAACTCCTGGCTTGACACTAGGATCCTAATCCTGAATTCAGTTTGGGATGGTTCTATAACTTTATCAGAAACCTCTGGAGATGCCTCATGTGGAATCTCACCTATTAAAATGTCTAAGCCCACTCCCAAGTGAGCTATCTGCCTTGTGGGAAGCAGGGAACTCTTCATTAGACTCACTGTAGGTTCAGCACCTCAAAATTGTGATCCTGCTTCATCTCTAGGATTTTAATCTTCATGACATTGTTCTGCTTCTGTGGTTTGGGATCTTACTAAAATTCATGCATGAACAGGTCCAGGTGCCTCCTCTGTGACCAGGGCTTGGCTATGACTACCACCAGCATCGTGGTAAAGACTAAGTGCTTAGACTAGGTGCTTATAGCCGTCTGAATGGCAGGGTTCTATAATGGATGTGGGACTTTCTGTATGGAAACCTTAGTAGATGACAGTGACAGAGTCATATGAAAATGTGAAGAGATGAATCTGCTATATCCACTGATGAAGGAAATCTCTGAGAAATAGGAGTGATACTGTTGAAGCTAAGCACAGCACAATTTCTTCTAATGAGGTTCTGTGAACATGCTTAGACATAGTTTTAGTTTTGAAAAGTGAAACATAGCTTTCCATTCCATATATCTTACTTGCTAATACTGAAAATTAACAAGCCTATTCATGTATTTAACATTTTCATCAAACTCAAAGTCATAATCTATTTTTATTACACTATTTTAAGAGAGTGTAGTCACAGTATAATACAAGTCCACACAGTTATTATTTTACTTATATAGATTAAAATATAATAAGTGGCTGGGATATTTTTATTTTATAGCATAATGTAAAACTGGGTTATGGATCTAACTTGGTATTTATATTGGTAAGGAATATCTTAATTGCTTAAAAAATCTAAATATGCTTTGTATTTATTAGGGTAACATATAATAGTATTTTAATTTTTGCTTTTATTTTATATCTCATTCCTATCACCAGATTGCAATGCAGAATCAGATGTAATTCCCAAATCAAGTCTGAATATTCTTTTGTGGGGTAGATAAGTATAAGGAAAGCGCTGAATGCCAATCTAGTGTTCATTCTTCACCCTTCACCCTGCATACTCACTGTGGAAACAAGCATTTCTAGTTGGGTTGCATACCAAGAAGAAGAGATAACTTAGGGATCACGGGCCCTCACCCAGAAAAAGGAAAGCATCAACTTTCTCAAATTCACAGTTTGTGCCATATGATTTCCCACAAGCTCAGACAACATATACTTTTGGTTCATTAAGCAATACTATTGGGTGAGTCTGAACAAGAACATGAAAATTAACACCAGTGGCCAGTTTGCTGTCTCTGACAGTGACTAGTACTAGCCACTCTGGAGGAGGTTCCTGGAATCCTGTAGCAGGCAATTAGGCAATAATCTGCCCACAGAAAAATTTTCCTCCTAAACCTTATT